TTGTTGCTATGATACCGGCGCCCGGATCCGGTGGAGCTGCTGCAGGGTTTGAATAAACGCCTTCTGCACGGTTTAACCCGGTAAATGACGGCGCTCGTCAAGCTGAAACAACGGGGGGAGAGAGAGAGAGAGAGAGAGAGAGAGAGAGAGAGAGAGAGAGACGCGCGCTTTACCTGCGTTCACCGCAAACGAGCCCTGCGTCGCGTCGGCGTCACGCATCTTTTGTTCCCGTTGTTGGTCAAATATAAAAACATATTCACACGGCATGTGGAACACAGTGTCCTGAAACAGAAACACACACACAGAAAACACTGGTCAGAAAGTAGCACTACCGCAGTAGTGTAAACAACACAATATATATGGAGATCAATTGGTGACAAAATTACTTTTTGTATAGCTCTAACACAGCCTCTTGTGGATTAATCAATACTATAATGCATTAACTAATCATAAAAACATTTTATGGAGCCATTAACTCATTATTGATAATAAACACCACTGAACCAGAGATGCTTAGAGTTTTAAATTACACTTTCATATACAGAATACAGAGATGCGTAAAATTATTCAATTTAAAGAAAAATGCATTAATATTAATTTAATATTAAAGCAACATTAATATTGAGGAGGAAATCATATATTTAAACACACAATAAATATGCTGGAACAGCAGCATGCCTGCTAGTCATTAAAATGAAGCGGTAATTGTTTTTAAACCTCTACTGATGAGGAGTGTATAGGGTTAAATCAATACCATTACACAATCGATATCTTTCCAGAGGCCAGAGATCAGCCGAAAAATCAATGATCTGAAACAGCCACTGGCAAACACTGACTCTAGTCGAAACCCAAGGTCTGAAATAAAAATATGAGAGCCTGGATTTATACATTACCCGAATAAATAAGCTTCCCAATGATGTTTGCTTTGTTAGGATTGTTATGCTGATGACATCTGACTACATCTGGATTACATTTACATTACTTTTATAGTGAGGTAATCTGACTTCATCTGGATTACATTTACATTACTTTTATGGTGATGTAATCTGACTACATCTGGATTACATTTACGTTACTTTTATGGTGATGTAACCTGACTACAATTAAATTCAATTTAATTACTTTCACGAAGCTTCGACATGTAGATCCGTCATCTTGTGCGTAATCTGACTGCATTTAATTACTTTTATAGTGAGGTAATCTGACTTCATCTGGATTACATTTAGATTACTTTTATGATGATGTAATCTGACTACATCTGGATTACATTTGGATTATTTTATGGGGATAAAATCTGACTACTTTGGTTTACATCTATGGCGACGTAATCTGACTATATCTGGATTATATTTAGATTACTTTAATGGCGATGTAATCTGACTACATTTAGATTACATTTAGATTACTTAGTGGCGACATCTGACTACATCTGGATTACATTTAGATTACTTGTCTGATGATGTAATCTGACTACATCTGGATTACATTTGCATTATTTTATGGTAATATATTCTGAATACTTTTGGTTTACATCTATGGTGATGTAATCTGACTACATCTGGATTACATTTAGATTACTTTTATGGCAATGTAATCTGACTACATATAGATTACATTTCGATTACTTTGTGGCGACATTCTGACTACATCTGGATTACTTTATTATGATATATTATGTATATATTATATTATGACTAATTTTGGTTTAAATCCATGGTGATGTAATCTGACTAAGACTGGATTACATTTAGATTACTTTCTGGTGATATAATCTGACTACATCTGGATTTAATTATGGTGGCTTGAAAAGCCAACATACTGTTATCTCACTTAAACTTATTATTATTAGGCTGGCTTGAGAAACAAGCCAGACTACTGAAATCCTATTTAAACTTATTATTTTTTTTATATATTATTAGGCTGGCTTGTGTAGCAAGCCAGACTACTGTTATCCTATTAAACTTATTATTATTTTTATTATTAATATTATTATTCTTCTTCTGAGACTAAAAATTAAACTCTATCTCCACCTAGACCTTTAAAGCTATGACCATCAAACTCGGGTCAGACCTCCGAACTATTCTGACTCGAGTTGCTATATCCTTTCCGACTGATCCGACTTTCGGTTTCCCGAAAAACGTCCCGGGACCGTCGGAAAAATCCCATAGACGTAACATTGGGTCAAACTTTGTGACCTCATAACTCCGCATCAGAATGTCACACAGACTTCTAACTGGGCTCATTTAACTCAGACTATCAAACTGCCAATGACTGATCACCTTTAAACTTTCTGGCCACGCCCTAGCAACCACTTTTGGACCCTAGAAACCGTCCCATAGACTTCCATTGCAAAAGACTCTCATTGACTTTACATTGGATCAAACTTTGTGAGCTCATAACTCTGCATCAGACTGTCCTACAGACTAATGATTGAGCTCATTTAACTCAGTCTAGCCAGCAGCCAATCACTGATGGCCTTTTAACTTTCTAGCCACGCCCTAACAACCAGATATTGCACCCTAGCAACTGTCCCATAGACTGCCATTAAAGAAGGTCAGACTGATATTGTCATGCTGCATTATGATAGAGACATGGGGGGTTGTTTTTAACTGTTCATACTGGCAAGAAGCTTTGATACATCATCAGTCTAAGCTGTCAATCAACTCCATAGCAACAAAACAGACTAACCTAGCAACGATATAACACTAGCTATATCTCAGCATCAAAACAACGTAGAGAAGCGGGGGTTGGCTTGTTTAACTCATGCTTACACCATCTATCTATCTATCTATCTATCTATCTATCTATCTATCTATCTATCTATCTATCTATCTATCTATCTATCTATCTATCTATCTACCTCTATCTATCTATCTATCTATCTATCTATCTATCTATCTATCTATCTATCTACCTCTATCTGTCTATCTGTCTATCTATCTATCTATCTATCTATCTATCTATCTATCTATCTATCTATCTATCTATCTATCTATTTATCTATCTATCTATCTACCTCTATCTATCTATCTATCTATCTATCTATCTATCTATCTATCTATCTATCTATCTATCTATGTCTATCTATCTATCTATCTATCTATCTATCTATCTATCTATCTATCTATCTATCTATCTATCTATCTATCTATCTATCTACCTCTATCTATCTGTCTATCTGTCTATGTATCTATCTATCTATCTATCTATCTATCTATCTATCTATCTATCTATCTATCTATCTATCTATCTATCTATCTATCTATCTATCATCTATCCATCCATCTATCCATCATGTTAACAATTTGCTAATTCATGCTAGAAACATGCTAGTTACATGCTAATTCACACTAGAATCATGCTAGTCACATGCTAATTCATGCCAGAATCATGCTAGTCACATGCTGATTTATACTAGAATCATGCTAACAACATGCTAATTCATGCTAGAATCATGCTAGTCACATGCTAATTCATGCTAGAATCATGCTAACAACATGCTAATTCATGCTAGAATCATGCTAGTAACATGCTAACTCATGTTAGAATCATGCTAACAACATGCTATTTCATGCTAGAATCATGCTAGTAACATGCCAATTCATGCTAAAATCATGCTAACAACATGCTAATTCATGCTAGAATCATGCTAGTAACATGCTAATTCATGCTAGAATCATGCTAGTAACATGCTAATTTATAATAGAATCATGCTAGTAACATGCTAATTCATGCTAGAATCATGCTAACAACATGCTAATTCATGCTAGAATCATGCTAGTAACATGCTAATTCATGCTAGAATCGTGCTAGTAACATGCTAATTCATGCTAGAAACATGCTAGTAACATGCTAAATCATGCTAGAATCATGCTAACAACATGCTAATTTATGCTAGAATCATGCTAGTAACATGCTAAATCATGCTAGAATCTTGCTAGTAACATGCTAATTCATGCTAGAATCATGCTAGTAAAATGCTAATTCATGCTAGAATCGTGCTAACAACATGCTAATTCATGCTAGAATCGTGCTAACAACATGCTAATTCATGCTAGAATCGTGCTAGTAACATGCTAATTCATGCTAGAATCGTGCTAACAACATGCTAATTCATGCTAGAATCATGCTAGTAACATGCTAATTCATGCTAGAATCGTGCTAGTAACATGCTAATTCATGCTAGAATCGTGCTAACAACATGCTAAT